AAACATAACGCTTTCTGCGACCATTTTATGTGAGGTATTGAAGCTTTATTCAAATTCATATCAACACGATATGCATTGAAGCGAAAGCAAGAATAAAGAAACATATCTACATTGTCAATCAATGTCTACAAAATGCATTCACTGTTAGTTGAGCTGAAAAATTCCTTTTTTACATGCTATTTTCATTATTGACGAAGTCTGGCTTTAAAAGTGTAATAACAACATTTTCATCACGATGTTGAAGTAATATTTCACCTTTAAATGTGAGGTATTTGTATTTTCGTGCACGAAGTCAAGTACCAACTAATTTGCTCGAAATATTTACATAAATTTACAACAAAAAACAAACGACATCAAGTGAACTATTTATTTTTTTTTGTGCGAAAAATGACCTCAAATAATTGACCAAATGTAATTTGAATGGTGCCATCGACCGGATTTTTTTGACCACATTGTCAAATAACATTACATAAAATATTTGACTTCTTCTACGGCATCCTTCACGTCATGGTTGAAATTATGATGACGAACTTTTCGTCCACCAGCTGCTGGTCGAGCATACCTGTCAAAGTACAAAGAAACTGGTCATTTATCAGAGTTCAACTTATTCGCCGAGGAGATAAATAAGATAAAATCTAGTTCGTTTTTGAAAACATGAGTTTATCGTCAACGGAAGCTTTGTTTATACCAATCAATCTTCTTTGCTTTTTTTCTTTTAAAAATCATGGATGATTTACTAATTATGATATGACATTGTCGATTTTTTGCTATATCGTATTTTGTACTTATGCTACGTCGTAGCTTATGTAATATCTATGATACATGTACTATTTTCTCTTTAAGAACATTGAAGTGCATTCTTCCTTGTTTTTTTTCTTTCTTCCTGTACATCGATTGACTTTGTATAATCAGCTGTGTTCTCATTTGACTAGATTGCTGCTCTTTCTGGCTGTTGAACCAATTTATTTGTTACTTATGAAATGATGAAAATGAACTATTCACGATGACTGTTGGACTTTTGAATTTGTATATAAATGATACAGTTCATATAGAGAAAATTCCCTTATTTCATGAATTACTCTTTACTTAGATTTTTTTTCGTTTTTTGAGATTTTAGAAAAATCAATAAAAATCATTGAAGCGAATCGTAAAACTGTTAGCGTAGAAAACAGTTCTTTCGGCTTCTCGGTGATATTTTCTTTCGAAGAAAAGTATTCTACTAACAGCGGATCTTCAGAACTGATCGTCCATTCAAACGCTGGCTTTGATAAAGCTTCAGCTTTATCAGTGAATAGCGCAACTCTATTCAATGCTCCATTGTGAGATGCTCCTGTGACGCGCTTTTGAGCAGGATGTGCTTTAGGGGAGAGAAGTTATCGTTACCAAGTGATGGTAATGGAATAACGGGAAATTTTCGAATCTGTCAAAAGAAGAGACATTCTTCAAAACTGATATTTCTTTATATAGTTTGACAAACAGCGTTTGGAGTTGAGGAGTCTGTAGTATATTTCTCTGAATTTAAAAAATACTAGATGTTCCCGTCATTATGGCTCATCCCGTATCAATACTAAGTACTTCTTCTAGAGTGAAAGTTAAATACTTTACTTGCTGCACTATTGCAGTCTGAGACGTTCGAAATACGCTTGCTGATATATGTTTTCTGTGTACTGCTCCATAGCAAAGCCTACAAATTCTCTTAACAATCCGATCTATGTTGAGCTCCAATCTGGTAAGATGGATAAATTCATAGAGTAAACAAACAGATCGAAATACTTTAATCGTTTCTCACTACTTCAAGAGCGGAAGAGTTCAAGTACTTTGGAGACTTTACGTAATCTAATCAATATGGACGGCTAGTGAATTTAAAAAAATCCATTTCTTAAAATTTTTCAGATGGATTTCTTAAGAGATAGTTCGAAGACTTTACATTTACATTTCGTCTTCGTGTTGATTTTTGAATAAACAATGTCTGCAAGAAAATCAAGCCGTTCTAAGATAGAACAAGTACATTTAGTTTTATGATTAATAAGTGGCTGTCATTGTAAATGCTGCAGCTCGATACTGCTACAATGCGAGAGAGTTAAGATCGTACAAGACTTCTTGATTGCATTAACTGTTTAAACCGACACCCATTCTAAAATATTGGTCAGACTTCATGAGATCCATACTTTGGCTCCTGAAGAAACCACGCTGACAAGTTTTTTCCATGTTTCGAATACAAAAAAAAAACATTTTGTAAGTCTTGTATGATGAGAAGAAACCCTAAATCATCAACACATTGTAAGAACCGTTTTCTAGAGAAAAGTCTATTATGATAAGATAAGATGAACGAGTCTTTCTTATAAAAAATTTCTAACTGCTATGTCGAAAAGTATTAAAGGTATTTTGAGCTGAAACTGCGCAAGGACAACATATAGAGTTTAAAGATTTGATTACATCTTAGTCCATTTATTACCAAAAGGAGAGCTGAGAAAAGTGTTTCATAATCAATCGTAGCAACGATTATTCCTTTTTATGAGAGACGAATTTTTCGTTCATCGACATCGGAAGCTTCAAACTGCATTTTGCAGTCGAGTGACATTCAAATGTCACCTTATTATCGCTCATTTGCATACTGGAAACAGATAATCTCTCATGTTTGTTAAATCCGCATTAGACATTCAGAATGAAAATATAATAGCCATATACATCATAATTAACAGTACGTGTACAATTAATAACTACATATGAAATCGATGCCAAAGATAATAGGAGGAGATTTTTTTCGTGTTAAAGGTTTTTAACAAACAGAAGACCTATTTTATTTAGTTCCATTAACAAAATCATATAATGCAGAAATTGGAAAGGTTAAAGAACCATTCAATAACTACAGCATCATAACAAGATAAAACTGATGTTATATTAGTTTATATTAATTGAAATATGAAATTCCGAACAATACTCATGAAATGAATTAGAAAAGAATTGATGCATCAAAACAAATATATGCACGAAAAGATTTTTATTTGTCTTGTTTCAATTCAACGTATTTTTTTGTTGTTGTTTAGATACTAAAGACTAAAATCATCTAGTTCACCAGTAGTGGTTGTTTTTCTGTCTTTTGGTTGATTATGAACTAATTATTTGAATGTTGGAGATCAATTTTTATTTATTGTAAAATATTCTAAATGAAAAGACATAAAAGTAATGTTTTGGATTAATGCTGACATTGAATCACGTTGTATTTTAGTTAAAAACAAATGTACACTCTATATATGTGGATGTAGTGCGCAGAGAATAAGTACATATTCACTCACACTCACACCCGAAAACGGTTTACAGAGAACTATGAAAGAAATAAAAAATAAACATGAATATCAATGAGGACATTGTAGAATAACGCTAAATTGATCGTCGATGAATATGATGAAAATGATTATCTCATCAATAATTGAATTGATGAGAATTAATAGTGTTTTCTGTTCGTTTTCGATGATCAATTATTCATTAATCATTTAGCGACAGTTCATGTTTAATACATATATATATATGGAATGATTTTCTTGTATGAAATCATTCTATTCAATCGGTAAGTATGCTCTTCGCCGAAAGTCACATCGTCGAAATACAGATTGCCGAAATTTGGCGAACTGTATTTCGACGAAGTATGATTTCGGCAATGTGACAATCGTCAATCTATCATTTCAATGATATGACTTTTGACAATGTCGCTTTCTGCGATGTATTCACCGTCAATGTTTTTTTTTTCGACGACGAGGTATAAACCGTTAAGTCAAAGTGCCTAAGTTGAGTTAGGCACTGACTCAAGTTAATAATCAAGTTAGGAAATGACTTAACTTAGGAATCGGGTCAGAAACTAAGACAAGCTAGGAATCTGTCACAAATTTCGGTTGCAATTCATGATGTTTATGATATAGGTAAATAGCCGGTCTCTGTATGCGATTCATATCGAATGAGTGAACGAAAATAATAATCACCGAAAGAATGTATCTGATAAAGATCATCAAAATAAATTCGGCGGTCTTTATTTCAATAATATCTATTTCGGTAATCTTTCTTTTCAACAACGTTTGTCTCGGCGATCTCGTTTTCGACGATGAACATTACATTCGAATGACTCGTGTAAAGCATAAATGTTATTCTATAAAAAATGGTAGAGACGATTATTCATTTGTCCAGGAATTTCGATTTTTTTCGAATAATCAATATTCGTGCTTCACACCTTACTTCGCACTCTCAACAAAGTCATAAGGCTATCAAGGTCATTTGTTTTTCACAGAATTTTTTAACGAAACAAACGCGAAAGGAAACGAGAGCGAATATATATAGCTCGTCTACAGGTAACACTGTCACCCAGTTTTCGACCTTCGAATAGTCGTAACTCAATAAATTGATGCGATTAAGAGCTGAAACTTACATTTCATTTGACTTAATTGCGACGACTCTCGGAGAATAGAATGTCACAGTAACGCACTCATCCAAAAAGGATCTCTTACACAAGAGTGATTCAAAACAACCCACACTTTTCGAAAGTTTTTTGCTTTAAATGTAGTCTTTTAATTTGTTTTTGTAGCTAAGGTAACAGACTTTACGATGATCAAAAATTTTCTTTGAAAGTTTGTTCCGAGAAAAAGTTATCATGCAAACATTATGATAACGTACTCGTTTTTTTCATTCTAAAAAAGCAGATTTTTCAAGCTGCAAACCACCATACTAGCTGATTCACTGAATACAAAATATAGTGAAATACATATATAAACAAAGAAACGCAAATCTCAAAATAAATGTTTGTTTCTCTTTCTCAATTTTCATCATCACAATAGAAAAACATTGTTTTAGAATAAAACATCAAGTAATCATTATGATCAATGTATAATCATTGTGTGAATTGAAAAAATATTCATTTTTATTTTATTTTTTTCTGCTTGGTATTATAAGAGAACAAATGGATAGTCTATGTATAGGAAATAAGGATAAGAAAAAGACAATATTTTAGTTTTTTATTCTTGTTCTTTGACTTGTTGTAACATTATTTCTTGTTGGTCATGCAAAGTTTCTTTTTGGGCTGGTTTACGTGCACTTGTAAAACTATAATCTTCGATTGTATCATCATATAAAACAGAATAATCAATATCTCTTGTACTTAGATCAGTTGATTCTTCTTCGAGCTCATTTGTTGTTGTTTTCTTTCTATCATCATCTTCATCCGATGAATTATCAACATGGTGACCTATAAAACTTGGTCTTCTTGACCTTTCAGGTATTAGAGTAGAAAATGATCGACGACGTTGATCAACTGGACTTGGATCAGTTTGCACAACAGGTGCTATACTTCCTTTAAGTAGTAAAACACATAAATAACAAAATGTTTTCAAACTATTTCAATCAGAAATTTTCAAGAAAGAATTTTTTTCTATAGAATTTAATTTAAGCATTGACACTCTCATGCACTGATATCCATTGCTTTCAATAACTAATAAATGATGAAAACATTTTTGGAAAGAAGTCGATATTTATTTTTTAGCAATGAAACATAATATCAACTTGGATGTGTGTTCATTGGAAAGAGCCACGTCTCGAGAGTATATACAGAAAACGAAGACTTTCTTTTGTTTTTATCTAGTGAATCAATTTTATTCCGAAAAATAAAACTTCTGAACTTTAGCGTATTGCTGCCGAGATACTGCATTATTATGGTATTTTATGAAGCCAATACTGTTGTTCCCTTCAGGAACACTGATTTCCGACATGAAGTTTTGCATAAAAATAGATCTTCGAAACAATAGTTCATTGTGAAATTTTTAGATCCTTTTATTATTTCTATTCTAAGATATGGTGATGGTAAATTGTGCTTTTTACATCGCAGATATACATTGGCAAAATCAAAGTTCTCATTTTAGGATGGCAGCAAACAAAAAAATTTGAAAGTTTCATTGTAAACTATTCTTAGTAGGATCTGTCTCTACCTAAAATTGTCAAGTCAGAACACGAAAATCAGTTTTTCAGGCCTTCGTCCACCAAACAAGTTCGAAAAGTTTCATAAATATCAATGAAATTTCTTACCAAGATTAAGTACAAGTGATCGTTGTCGTTCTCGTTTCTTATATATGGGTTCATTTTCAAGATCAATTTCCGCACTATCTGCTGGTATGGCCTTCTCTTGGTCTATTGATATTGAAGGTGATTTATGTTTTGTTTGCTGTTTTGATGTTTGTGTTCCAGATAAAGCCTTTGCTGTTGCCTCTGTTAATGCTGATATAATATCCTTTTGACTTTGTTCTGATTGATGTAAAGCATTATGAGACATCTGTTCCAGTTTTTGTAAAGCTACTTTTTGCTCTTTTGTTAATGATTCATTCGTATTATCTTTTCCTTTTGTTACAGTTAACAGTATTGATTTTAGATTTTCAGACTGATCAATAGCATGTTGCTTTCGTTCATGATGATTCAATTCTTCTTTGCGATCGATTATATATACACGAATCTCATAAGGATGAAATTTGAATGATTTTTCGTCCTAAAATAAAGGATTTTTGTTTTTCGGTAATTGTTAACTATACAAAGAAACATATGTGAGGTTCTAGAGAAAGTCTTTCTCTATCAGCCTATATATATAACGCATTCTATAGTCCAAACTTTATACTTATCATTTAAATCATTGATAATTAATATTAATTATGAAGAATGCCAAAAACTAAAAAAGAGTTATTTTCTTTACCTTATGTTCAGATACTGGTTCAAGTAAATTTGTTAAAACAAGTTGTGATGATGATAAACCTTGATATAATGTAAATTGTGCTACACGATCTGTTAAATTTGCTAGAACATAGGCTCGTTTAGTATCTGATGTACGCATATAGCCATAGATTTGCTTATGATTAGATAGTATTAAATCATATATTCCATATATAAAAATATCATTTTCTTT